TGGTGAGATATTTCAAGTGACTGTAGACGCAATGTCTATTTATAGAGTGGCATGCCCTACTAACAACGGTACCCTTTTATCCTTTGTCAGATTAAAGATGAATAAGATTATATATTCCTTTTCAAAACAGAAATTAAACACTTGCTTCCTAACTGCTGTTTATATAACGGTTTAAAGGGTATCCTGAATCAGCCTTACCAAGATCTTTAAAAACTACTTCTACTGTTCCTTTAAGAGAATGTTCAGAAGATTCAAGAGAAACTATAAAAAGCTGATATTTTTTTGTTATTTATTTGCAAAATAAAAAATCACAAAATATTTCCAACAAGTAACAGTCCTAAAATCCTGTACGTTGGATTGTTGAAATTGAAATTTTAATCGGCTAAATCAAAGGGTGAAAAAAGAGAATGCGAAATATCTGTGTAATAAACCCTAATTACATAAGTTAATTGAACAGCGATTTGAGATGAGATTATTAAATTAGAAAAAATTTGCGCGGAAATATTTGGATTTTAATGATGGAAAATCCTATTTAATCTCGAGAATCTTTAATTATCTATCTATCTATCCTTACGATGATTGCGTCATTAGTTTATCATCTAATCCTTGAATCGATAAACAAATATTTAATCAAAATATTTTAGTTCTTTAACTGCCCCAATCTTTCAACTTATTGATTTTCAATTATGTTTTTAATATGTTATGAGAAGCAGACTCCATGTCTAGTTAGTATGATATGTTATCACATATTTGTGTACAGGGGGAATCAGAAAAAACCTATTGAGTGTTTAAAAAAGATGAAGGAATCTAGTATGTTTTCCGTAAATATTTGATGTGAATGATCTATCATGTTCCTAATAATTGTACAATCGAAAAAAAGAAAAAAGGAATTGAGTTTTTGCCACAAACTCGAATTTTCTAATCCTTATATCTTGGCAACCTAATAGTGGAAACCCTTGATATTTCAAACTTAGCTATTTGATCTAACAGAATTCATAGTTTGAAATATCTAACGTCTACGAAATTGGATTGCAAAGATATAGGTATTAGAAAATCATGTGACGAACTCTCAATTCATTTAGAACAAAACTCGAAGAAATGAAAAAAATCTTCTCTGACAAAATTTTTTGGAGCATATAAGCCACATTCAGCTTAGACACATCATTCTACAAATTTTTTTTGATGCAAATTATCATTTTTCAACATTTTGAGAATTGTGTACTTCTAAGTTGAATTTGGTTTCGCGAAATTGTAAGATGAAAATTTGATATTTTTCATCGAATTTTTCAATGATTATCATACGCTGGACTAACCATGAAGATGCGTTTGTTTTAACTAGAAATTATTCGTGCATTTAAGAAATTCACGGTAAATCCTAACATTGTAGTCCTTCAATACCCTCCTGGTAACACTATTCAAGAGCACATTATATCCTGTATACCACCCATACTTCCCCCCCCCCCCCCCCCCCCCCC